CCCTCAAGAGTAGATAATCACAAAGTGAAGTACTTGAGAGGCAAGAAGATTGCGCTGGTGAAGGTGGTATAAGGAGGACCTGTTGGTGGAAGCATAATATGGGAGATAGAGAGTCAGATGAGAGAGTCATATCCGACTCTGTTTCCTTCAGGTAATTTTTAAAGGCGAAAATTTTCTAAGTGGAGCAGAGTTTTAACACCCTGAAATTTGATTAATTTATTTAATCAAATATTTCGACTTTTTATTTAATTAATTGATATATGGTGTGCTTTTAATTAAATATGTATATTGAGTTGTATGTGTATGTGGGGCATTGTCGGAGTGTAGTGAGAGAATTGGTAGAGTTGTAGAAGGATTAGAATAATTAAAATAATTAGAAATGATTAGAATTATAATTGTTTTTAATTAGTAAATTAAATAAGGAAATAGTGATATTAGTGGAGTTGAGGCTGAATTGACATAATGAAAAGTATAGGGAATAAGGAAAGAGAAGAGATAATACGAGGGGAGGAAAATATAATTATTAAGGAATTGAAATAATTAGGTTTTTAGAATAAAAGAGGTTAGAGTAACCTAGAGTAATCGGTATGTAAATTTTTTGAATTTTTGAGAAAAGAAGCAAGAACAAGGCTAGGGCTTGAGGAAGGGAGAGCACAAATCACAAACCGGGGGGGGGGGGGGGGAGGGGGGGGAGAAAGGGATTTGATATGTGTGTATTGCATGAAAGGGTAAAGGTAAAAAATCCTTACTCTATTTAGGAATTGTGTGAATTATTTATGAATTGTTGTTGATTATTTGTGGTTTTGGAAATCAATGATTGAAGGTGTATTCATCTTATTTTCTTGGTTGGAATTATGTATATATAATTCTTTTTATGCTTATATGTTTGTATGCCATTATTGAGGTTATTAAAGGTATGAACATAAAACTGAATGTGTTGAAATTGATGAATAATTTGTGTAATTATGTGAGTTAGCACCATATAATGATGTTATTACATGTGATTTTTAATTTCTCGAAGTGTTGAGGATATTGGGGGATCAAATTTGGAGTTCAAGGTGAATCCCATGGAAGAATTCATATTTTTTCCTTATGGTGCATGGTTATAGGCGTCACCCAGATGACGGGTTACCCGTCATGCACCTTGAGACGCTAGCGAGCGTCATCACTCTGATGGGGAGATCGTCATGGTCTACAAGCTTGGTTTTCTAAATCGGTCGTCACATTAATGACGGTCTGGGAGTTTTGAGCAGGTGACAGGCGTCATTAAGGTAATGTGTTACCCAACTTTAATTAATTGTGATAGAATTATTGTTGTTGAATTGGTGTACTTACCTACTCTAATTGGTATTTTACAAGAATACTAGTCATATTCTCATCATGTGTATGTTGTTTCACGATAAGAGTATGATTAGTATTGTTGTGAAATACCTGATTATATGGTGATTAATTATGTATTTGTTGGTGTACGTTATTGTTATTATTGGTGGATAGTAATTCAGAAGGGGGGATTACTATTGTGTGTCAATGCATGTTGTTTATGGTCAGAAGCGGTCTGTAAGCATTATTATTGTTGTTGCAATGATTTGTATGGACATGCATCATTGTGTCATATTTTTGAAAACATCATGTTTGATAGTTTAGAAGGAGGGACTAGTGGATTATCCCAAGCTCAGATGGGGAGGGGGGCTTATGGGTTCAGAAGGGAGGGCCCGGTTTCGGAGAGAACCAATTGTGAGTTGGTAACACATGCATAAGTGCCATCTTGTGTCGTTAGTCGTATTACATACATATGTACATATTTTTGTGAATGGGCATGAGATTATGGTGATGTCGATTGTGTAATGGATGTGTGACATGTTATATATTTTCTATACCTATGCATTCTTTACATTGTTCATATTGAGGTTGTTTCTCACCTTTTTTTTTAATATTGTCCACCATGGACATCTTGCAGATACTCAGGAGTAAATTTGTTGTCGTGCATGGAAGGTGACATGTGGAGCTACTTATCATTTTATTTATCGCTTTATCGTACGTTAGTGGTCTTAATGCTCTGATCTTGTAACTTCGCAAACGAGGCGTTTGCTATGTCTTTTGAATTAAAGCCAAACTTTGTTGTTTTAAGTTTAATATTTTATTTTAGAAGTTTAAAATTTAGTTTATATAATATGATTTTTACTGCATGTTAATAATTATTGAAAATTATTTTTGGGTTGTCGTTGGTGACACCTTAAATTATCGAGTAATTCCTTTTATATAAGTTTCAGGGTTTATAGTGTTACACCGGTCCAGTAATTGGCATCTCTTACCTCTTGCTGGTTATGACTTCCATAGTTTGGATTCTAATCTCTAGTATCTTTAATATTGTAATCGTCTTATTCTGTTTGTTTGCCTTTGTAATAGATACTTGTTTTGTCGTTCATGCTCTGATCCCTCTTCTTCAGCAGATAAGTGTCCTTTTACATACCTATTCTTTTCTTGTTTTCTACATTTTGATCTATCTTCTTCTGTTGGTGATTAATTTCTTCATCGTCTCTTTTCTAATCCTAATAGGTATGCTTCTGCTTCTGTTTCTGTTTAGAGTGAAGACAAACTTTAACAACGAGAATGCTCAAATTAAAATAAAAGGACACTGCAATAACTAACATTAAATAAACGCAATAAATGATAGAAATGACGAAATGTTTCAATTAATGAAATGTAAAAGTAATAAAACAAAAGGGACGCAGACTCACATATTACACTCAAACTATTTCACATTTTGATTTAGGTACTCCAGTTCTATAGAGAAAGTATATGAAATTTGTGACCTTGATTACAACATATGAATCCGATATATATACACTAAACTAAGATACCGTCTTCGACCGTTTATTCATAAAGAATCGACATGTCATCAAGATCATGCAAAATTGATATTCCGATGCACTGCAACGTCGTTAGTACTTGAAAACTGGTGAAAACCATTATCTCACGTTCGTAACTGCTCTTAACGACTGGGAATTGTTTGCTCATCTAGGGTGATTGTTGACAACGCTAAGTCCCCTTTCTAGTATTTGGTTTCCAAAATCTACCAAGTCTTTGAAATCTATCGAACGCTTCGACTCCAACACAATTTCGAGTGATCAATCTGATTTGTTTCTGAGACTATTTTATATTATGTCTTAAGATTTCAAAAACATAAGTCAATTTGAACTTTTTTTATAAAAAATTTAAAGTGACCGATTTTGTAAGTTTTGAAAATTATAAAGGACTATGTTATCATTTTTTAAAAATTTTAAGAGTCAATTTGAAAGTTTAAAAAATACGAGGACCAACTTAATTTTTTTAAAAAGATTAGTATTAATCAACTTTACTTTTATAATATATATATATATATATATATATATATATATATATATATATATATATATATATATATATATATATATATATATATAGAGAGAGAGAGAGAGAGAGAGAGAGAGAGAGAGAGAGAGAGAGAATGAGAGAGCAATTTAAAATTTCATTTAAATTTTTTTAAATTTAATTTAAATAGAATACTTTCTAAATTGTCATCATTTGAACTATTATTCATATTTTTCATCCAAACAAAATTTTAGTTAAGTTATTTCAAATGTTTTCAAAAAATTAATTTCTACCAAATTGATTATAATTAAGCTTTAAAATTTTTAAATTAGTCTCCATTAAAAAAAATCAAATTGACCCACAAAATATTCTAAAAATAACAAATGAATCATAATAGTTTTCAAATTTGATAAATTGGTCTATTTAAGTTTTTGATAAATTAGTCTATTAAAATTTCAAAAATCTAAATTAATTCTTATTTTTTAAATTTTAAATTTTATACAATGATTCAAAAATTTTACAATAAATAATATTCATACATTCTCCAACCAAAAAAAATTTAAAATAAATTCTAGTTAAATCATTCAAATTATTTAAAATTTAAAACTTCTTATGAATTTTCTATTAACTCAACACCATTAATTTTTTCTTTAATCAAAGTGATCCATATCTCTCAATCATAAAGTTTAATTGAAATGCACTTTTACAAATGTTTTACTTTTTCTTTAATTACATCTAAAATATAACTTATGAATGATTATAATATATTGATAGTCTAAAATATTTTACATGTTAGTCATAAACTTTATTTAAAGTTATGAAATGAAAGCAGTACAATGATTTTGTTGCTGATGTTACGCCTCAAAAGTACAAAATGTCTCCTTGGACCACATTCTTTCATTTTCTTATACAAAATATCCCAAAGGAAGACCAAAATGGACCCACTTAATTTCTATGTGGAACAATATCATCCACATGTTATCTCAAACTATGCAACAAATTTATTGTTAAGATTTCCTTTTCATCTTTCATTCACCCACACCCTAAATATTAATATTCTATGAACATTTTTTTTTACTTTGGAAGAAAAAAAATTAATGGAATAGTTGTATCTATTGATAAAAATATTGAAAGCAAAAAAGAAGGTTTCTTTAGCCACACTCAAGGTGGATTAAACTCAAAAAAGAAAATTGCAAAAGAGATACATTACAACAGGATTTTAGCGTTAAGGTTTTCACGATTTCGGTTGGTATAAATGTTATGATAACGATCACTGTCGTCGCATTTAATATAAAAATGGTTATAACGTATGATATCGACATCTGTTGATACTATTTTGTCAGTGGCCGTTTTTGCCATACCGATTTTTATAACCCTGCTCCACAATTACACTCTCTTGTTGTCTTTTTTCCCATTTCATCAATTTCATTCCATTCAACATTTTCTCCTTAAAGCAAAACTCTCATAACTACCTACCTAGCACTCATTTTTACACTCATCTTCTACTTCTTTCTTCTAGAATGTCTCATCTCAACTTTGTTTATACAATTTAGACACTGAACTTTAACATATACAAGGTTTTGGTTTTCCTAGGAAAGTTCTTCCTTGTTAATGTTGGATTCTTTTGTCATAGACCATTCATAGGAGCTATGTTCATTGAAAAACTTTCTAACTTGATATGTTTTTGTTCAATTATTACACTATGTTATGCTGTAACAAACCCTAATGATTTCAAAGTTTTGAATGATTTTAGAAAAGGGTTGGAAAATCCTGAGCTTCTGAAATGGCCAGAAAAAGGAAACAATGATCCATGTGGTCCTCCTTCATGGCCTTATGTCTTCTGTTCTGAAGATAGAGTCACTCAGATTCAAGCTAAGAATCTTGGTCTTAGAGGAACATTGCCTCAAAACTTTAACCAACTCACAGAACTCTACAATTTAGGTCTTCAACGCAACAATCTCACCGGGATTTTACCAAGTTTCAGTGGCTTGTCGAAGCTGGAATTCGCTTTCTTGGATTACAATTCATTTGATGCTATTCCGCTTGATTTCTTCATAGGATTAACAAGCCTTAGGGTTTTGTCCTTGGAAGAGAATCAACTCAATGTGAGTACTAATGGTTGGTCATTTCCTTCGGATTTGGAAAAATCGGTTCAGTTAACGAATCTTTCTCTTGTTCATTGTAATTTGGTTGGATCTTTGCCTGATTTTCTAGGCACATTGCCATCTCTCACAAATCTAAGGCTTTCGAACAACAAACTTTCCGGTACGATTCCGGCTACTTTTTCTCAATCTTCAGTTCAGGTTCTGTGGTTGAATAATCAAGAAGGAGAAGGTGGTTTTTCAGGTTCGATTGATGTTATTGCTTTGATGGTTTTCTTAACGCAGATTTGGCTACACGGAAACAAGTTTTCGGGTAGAATTCCGAACAACATTGGAAATCTCACTTCATTGAAGGAACTCAACCTTAACAGTAACCAATTTGTTGGGTTGATTCCACAATCCTTAGCAGAAATGAAACTCGAGTTACTTGTTTTGAACAATAACATGCTAATGGGTCCGATACCGAAGTTTAAGGCTGCAAACTTTACTTATGATGATAATCTCTTTTGCCAAGCTGAGCCTGGACTTGAATGTTCTCAACAAGTTACATTACTGTTGGATTTTCTGGATAATCTGAATTATCCGTCGTTCCTGATTTCCGATTGGTCAGGTAATAAACCGTGCACGAGTAGCACAGGACCGTGGTTTGGATTGAGCTGTAATGCCTCTGAGGTATCTTTAATTAATCTACCAAGACATAAGCTTAATGGTAGTTTAAGTCCTTCACTTGCTAAGTTAGAATCACTTCTCGAAATTAGGCTTGCTGGAAATAATATATCTGGCGTAGTTCCGAGTGATTTTACTAAATTGAAATCCTTGAGATTGTTGGATTTGAGTGACAATAATATTGAATCTCCTTTGCCGAATTTTCGTGATGGTGTGAAGGTTATTACCGTCGGTAATCCTTTTCTTAATAACCAAACTGGAGGGAGTGTTAGTCCTGTTATTAGCGGTGGCCCGAGTTCGGAAAACAACTCGACACACTCTCCATCTTCATATAATCATCAGCCAGTTCCAAGCTCAGATCATAGAAGATTCAAGACAGTACCAACATTGGTTGGAGTTGCAGTGTTTGCAGTTGTAGCTTTTTTTATTGTTTATCTCTTTTTGTGTTTCTTTAAGAAGGATAAAAACTCCTCGGATGCTCCGAGTTCCATCGTGGTTCATCCTCGAGATTCGTCTGATCCATACAATGTAGTTAAAATTGCGGTTTCAAGCAACACTGGAAGCTTAACAGAAAAAAGCGGGATGAGTTCTCTGACTAACTTAAGTGGTGAAACTAAAAACTCGCACCTAATTGAGGTTGGAAACCATGTCATATCGGTGCAAATGCTACGCAAGGTTACTAACGATTTTGCATCAGAAAATGAGCTAGGCCGTGGTGGATTTGGAACTGTTTACAAAGGGGAATTAGAAGATGGAACCAATATAGCAGTGAAGAGAATGGAGAATGGAGTTATCGGAAATAAGGCCGTGGAAGAGTTTCAAGCTGAAATTGATGTTCTTTCTAAGGTTCGTCATCGACATTTGGTATCTCTTTTGGGGCATTCCATTGAAGGAAATGAAAGACTTTTAGTTTATGAGTATATGCCACTTGGTGCTCTAAGTCAGCATCTTTTTCATTGGAAAAAATTGGATTTAAAACCTTTGTCTTGGTCACAAAGGCTTGTAATAGCACTAGATGTTGCGAGAGCGATGGAATATCTTCACAGTCTTACTCGCGAGACCTTTATTCATAGAGATCTCAAGTCTTCTAATATTCTGCTAGGTGACAATTTTCGTGCAAAAGTTTCGGATTTCGGTCTTGTGAAACTCGCCCCAAATGGTGAAAAATCTGTAGTAACAAAACTTGCTGGGACATTCGGTTACTTAGCCCCGGAATATGCAGGTATGGCCTTGCTTTAAAATTTTCATCCTTCTAAATTATAACATGAAATAATTGTAGAAACTGTATCTCAGTGTTTGTTTGTCTTAATGTGTTTTAGTGATGGGGAAAATCACCACAAAAGTTGATGTATTCAGCTACGGTGTCGTGTTAATGGAGCTTCTAACTGGACTAACAGCCCTTGATGAGAGCCGGTCAGAGGAAATCCGATACTTAGCCGAATGGTTTTGGCGAGTTAAATCGAACAATGAGAAGCTTATGGCTGCTATTGATCCAGCTTTGGAACAAAATGAAGAAACATGTGAAAGTATAACTATTGTAGCAGAACTTGCTGGACATTGCACTGCTAGGGAACCATACCATAGGCCAGATATGAGTCATGCTGTCAATGTACTATCAGCAGTAGTGGAGAAATGGCGACCGGTTTCCAATGAACTCGACGACTCCTATTCTGCCGTTCACGGTACTCGACCACTTCCACAAATGTTGAAAATTTGGAAGGATGCAGAAAATGGCGAGTTTAGTTATAGCAGTACTTCTGCTAGTGTTGAAGACAGTAAAGGGAGTATTGCAGTGCGGCCTACCGGATTCGCTGACTCCTTCACTTCTGCTGATGCTAGATGATTAAAAGTTGATTCAATCGAGTTTTGTGGTTCTTGTTTATGCGTTCTTGATAAAATTGACATGGATTCTCCATGTTTGTTTTTTGTTTTGGAACTGAAATACTGCTAAGTACTATACAAAGATATAGATAAATGTTTTGGTCTTTTTTGTGTCCTACACAAAAATCACAAATTATGTTTGATAGTAATGAATTTGCATTATAATTTACAAGACAAGTTATATGTCTAAAAAAATGACCTGGATATCAGAAACACCACACCAACACTGATACGTTTGACATCAATAATAATTTGAAGATAAAAAAATAAATAAAATGTAATTACAAAGCTCTATCTCAAACTAGCTGATTTCCCAGCACTTGATCCATAAGCAATGACCGAAATTCAGGTATATTAATATTCAAATTGAGGATGCAACAGCACTACGTTCTGTCCCATAAACCCTCTCTGCAACTCTCTCAGCCACATCAACCTTCCCATGAGTTTTACATGCCCCCAACAGGGCACCCCACAAAGCTTCATCAGGCTCAACATCCATTCTCAAAATCAACTCCTCTGCTTCTTCCACTAGACCAACCCTCCCCAACATATCCACCATACATGTATAATGTCTAAGCTCAGGTTTCACCCCAAACCCCACCTTCATCATCTCAAATATTCCCCTCCCCTTCTCTACAAAACCACCATGACTACATGCAGTCAAAACAACAGTAAAAGTAACAGCATCTGGCCTCTCTCCAACTTCCACCATTCTATAAAACATCTCAAAAACCTCTTCAAACCTACCATGCATTCCATACCCCGCCATCATCGTCGACCAAGTAATCACATTTCTCTTCCACATTCCATCAAACACTTTGCGTGCAAAATCCAAATGCCCACACTTATAATACATATGTATCAAAGCATTCGAATTTTTCAAATCCAACCCAAACCCATTAACCAAAACAGCTCCATGAACCTGTCGCCCCAGCCTCAAAGCCGATAACCCAGCACAAGATTTCAGCACAACCGGCAAAGTGTGCCGATCAAAGCGTTTAGAAGAAAAAACCATTTGGCGAAAAAGGTCGAGAGAATGAGAGAACATGTTAAGAGATGAATAGGCTCTGATGAGAGAGTTGAAGAGAAAAACGGGTTGGCGATTCGTGAATGAAAAGAGGATATTAGCTTGGTGCAATTGGGAACATGAAGCATAACAAGATACAAGCTTGGTTCGAATGAAATCATGATGTGAAATACCCAAAATGATGGTGCGAGCGTGGATTATTTTGAGGTTGTTTGTGTTTTTTGAGGAGGAAGAACATTTGTCGAGAAGACTGGCGTAGATTGGTTTGAGTTCATGAGGTTTGGCCATCGACTATATTTTGGGTGTTAGTTTCAGACACGGACACCAAAACAAATACACCTTTATAAGTTACCACATCAAATCAAATGAGACAGAATATTGATTTTCATGCAGAATGATTCTTACTATGTGCACCGCTACCCCAGCACAACACTCTCATCCTCCAAAACCACATTCACGCATTCATCTTCCAAATCAAAAACCTCACTCCACCTTTTCTCCCTTTAACTCCAACAAAAATTCAACCACCACCGACCTAACCGTAGCATGGACATCCTCCATTTCTCACCACTGCAAAAACGGCCATTTACTCGAAGCAGCTTCCGAGTTTATCCGCATGAGAGAAGCTCAAGTTGAACCCAATCACATCACGCTCATCACTCTTCTCTCTGCTTGCGCTCACTACCCCTCCCAAGCCAGCATCTCTTTTGGAGCTACCATACACGCACACGCTTTCAAATACGGTTTCGCCATTAACGATGTAAAGGTGGGTTCTGCGTTGATTGACATGTATGCTAAATATGGTCGTCTGAATTCCGCTAGGTTGGTGTTTGATCAAATGGGTATCAGAAATTTGGTTTCTTGGAACACTATGATTGATGGGTATATGAAGAACGGTGATATTGAAGATGCACTCAAACTGTTTGATAAATTGCCTGTGAAGAATGCCGTTTCTTGGACTGTGCTTATTGCTGGGTTTGTGAAGAAAGATTGTTATGAACAAGCTCTCGAGTGTTTTCGAGAAATGCAAATTGCTGGTGTTGCTCCAGATTACGTGACTGTTATTGCTATCATTTCTTCTTGTGCTAATTTGGGTGCACTCGGTCTTGGTTTGTGGGTACATAGGCTTGTGATGAAGAAAGAGTTCAGAGATAATGTTAGAGTTTCCAATTCGTTGATAGATATGTATGCTCGATGTGGGTGCATAGAGCTTGCTCGTCAAGTGTTTGATGGAATGACTCAGCGGGATTTGGTGTCATGGAATTCAATCATTGTTGGTTTTGCTCAAAATGGACGTGCAGATGAGGCTCTGAGGTTCTTCCATTCAATGAAGAAAGAAGGGTTTGAGCCGAATGGGGTCAGTTACACGGGTGTACTCTCGGCTTGCAGTCATGCTGGATTGATTGACAATGGACTGAAAATATTTGCTGACATGAAGAGAGCTCGTAGAGTTTCGCCGAGGATTGAGCATTATGGTTGCTTAGTGGATCTTTATAGTAGAGCGGGGAGATTGAAGGAAGCATGGGACGTCATCAAGAGAATGCCCATGAACCCTAATGAAGTGGTGTTGGGGTCATTGCTGGCAGCTTGTAGGACTCTTGGGGACGTTGAATTGGCTGAAAAAGTGATGAAGTATATTGTTAAATTGCATCCTGGTGGAGATTCAAATTATGTGCTTCTGTCTAACATATATGCTGCAGTTGGAAAATGGGATGGTGCGAGCAAGCTTAGGAGGAAAATGAAAGAACGTGGCTTACAAAAGAAACAAGGCTTTAGTTCCATTGAGATTGACTCTAGCATTCACAAATTTGTGTCTGGCGATAAATATCAGGAAGAGAATGATAATATTTACTCAACCTTGGAGCTTCTGTCCTTTGAGCTCCAATTATGTGACTATGTTCCTGATTTATACGAGGAAGATTGAATTTTGCAATCGGGTTGCAAATATAACTCATTAAACAGTTCTACTCCTAGTAATTGAGTTCAAGAAAATGATTTTTTAAAACCATAATTTACTAAAATGTACAAAGGCTGTTTGTTTAAAAGATTACTACAATATCTGGAATCTATGGAATATTATTTTAGGGAACATTATTACTAGAAATTTTATTCCTATCTTTGTGTTTGGTAAATAATTTAAGTTCTCAGAAATATTATAAAATATATTTAATTTTAAAAATTAAAATAAAAAATAAAGATTTAAATAAATAAACGTAGAAAGTTTCCTATGGTTGTCTCTTACCTAAATGAAAAATGAAAAAAATCAAGTGTAAATTAAACTCCTAAAAATCAAAAGTTCTAAAGCATAATTTATAAATACTGAAAAAACATGGAACGCAAAAAATTAAAGTCATATTTGTGGGAATAAAATTGAAATCTATGAAACAAACGTACTCTAAGACTTCAACTTTTCCTCAAAAGGTGCTGAGCCAACATCTTACATGAATGTTCTAGGTAGAGCAGGTCACTTATACATTTGGAATGATTCAATGCCAGCTAGTGAAACTTCTCAATAATTATGGCCAAATGATTAACTGAATTGCCAGGAAGAATTATACCATATTCATAAACCAGTAAAAAAACAATAGATGACTAAGAGTTAAATGTGAAGAGAGATGGATCACATTTGCTAATTTGAGAACCCATTTGAAGAAGAGTACTCTTTAACCAGTCCACACAGATTTCCACAGTCCTGCGGGATATCATCGATCGACGGAATCGCTGCACGTAGAGGCGCTCTCTCTTTCTGTGTTCCCAAATCACCACAATGTAGACATTCCAGTGTTTCCGCTGAACAAAAAATTCCTTGCCTTTGGACTCTAGGCATATGCTTGGAATGACATTAGGAGCTTTGTTTGTGACCCAAGATGTTTTTGACAAAATTAAGAAATTATTGTTGGAATTTCCACCGTTGTAGTCTATGTCTAGTTAGAATAGAAGTGGGTGATCTGTCTTTCATATTTGCACCCTTTCCCGCTGCTCAAGGCTAGCTCGTGGATATTCAGATCAAGCTTATAATTCTCAATAATCTCAGTTACCGTTTTCAGTGCATGCATTTCTCTCTCAGTAATTTCCATCCATGGCCTTCCTTCCAGGGAAAGTCTTGTAGTAAGTTTCTTAGATACATCCACACATGCTTTCAAAATATGAATTGGTGGAATCTTATTAGCAAGATTAAACTCAAAATCATCCTTGATAGCCAGAACATATTTGCCCCTATCAACAAGTTTCTGAACAATCTCTAGAACGCTATCTGTCAAACCATATCACGACAAAGCTGCATGAACTCACAATTAATTGCAGCCGCGGCAGAAATTTCAACAAGCTCATCCATTCTGAATTCAGAAACAATACCAAACGCATAAACCAAATAGATAAACCCCAACGCCTTAAAAATATTTCCATAATCACCCATCAAATTCCCTTTCCAATCAAGAGCCACCTTCAACGCTTTCTCCCTAGCCTTATAGCTCACGTTCACACGAGCAACACTTAGAAGCCTCAACAACATAACCCAAATCCTCCCCATCTTCCTCAATCTCCAATCATTAACACTGATTTTTGCTGCAATTTTCTTCAATGTGACACACTGTGCTAAATGGGTCAGTCTGCACATATTCTTCACTTACTGATACAATTTGATATCTCTATCTCATACTAGCTGATTTCCCAGCACTTGATCCATAAGCAATGACCGAAATTCAGGTATATTAATATTCAAATTGAGGATGCAACAGCACTAAGTTCTGTCCCATAAACCCTCTCTGCAACTCTCTCAGCCACATCAACCTTCCCACGAGTTTTACATGCCCCCAACAGGGCACCCCACAAAGCTTCATCAGGCTCAACATCCATTCTCAAAATCAACTCCTCTGCTTCAAGATCGTTGAAGATCACACAGTCAATTTCATCTAATACACAAGCTTTTAACTACAAAGTCAACTCTTTGACTTTTGAGATTTGTGGTCCAAATTGAAGTCCTCAAGATAAATTTCATTGAAACATGTCTAATAAATGAGTTTGATTATGAAAAATCAAGAATTTGGAGGTTTCTTGCAAAAGGAGTAAAGTGGAATAAATTGAAATGTTTTTCTAAATGTTGTAAAAAACCCTAATTTGGTTCCAACTTTGGAAGGTCATAACTTCTAATCTAGACCATAATTTTGTGTGTTCCAATGATGAAATTGAAGCATTTACAACATACTACAACTTTGTTAATAAGGGTTAATCTCCAAAAAGTGAAGGGATTTTGAGTTATGAAGCCATCAAGTGAGTGAAAAAGTTCCACACTTAGAAAATTTTCAAGATAGTTTTTGCTTCCAAAAAGTACCAAAATTTGGAGCCCATTTTCATTATGATCCATTGATAATCAAGAAATTATTAAAACATGAAAGTTGTAGAGCATGTTTGGGGATTTTCAAAAAGTACAAGAACTCACTGATACCATTCTTGAGTTGAGAGATTCAAAGGGATGAAGTTGGTATCACAAAGTTTGATTTCATGCCATTTCCACAACTTTTTCTTGACCAAATCTCCAAGCCATGATCTATAATACCACTTTTCAGGCTACAATATCTCTAAATATTTCCATAATCAGAAGATTACACGAAAAAATGGAGCACTTCCAATTTGATAAAGCCACTTTAATCACCAAAGTCAACTTCTTAAGCAGTGTAATTGTTCCTTCTGCACTCAAAAGGCTTTGTACTGGGAAGCAAAGTCTCTGAACTTCTCAACAACTCTAGAAGAGCTTGTACCTTGTATTGGAACTTCAAAATTTTACGGAACTATCAAGTTGCAACTCAACCAAGACAAGTTTGAGAACTTTGTAATCTCACCAGCTTTAAATCCCACGAGTTTTCTTATAAATAAGGGACTCCTTTAAGATTTAAAAGACACAACTTTCACACTTGAAACCTCTGAAAATATCCCCATCCAATAGAGTTTTCAAATAAGCTCATTTTTGCAAATTCTCAAGTCAAACGCTTTTCCCTTGTGCATTTCTCAAAGTAACTTCATAAATCACTACAAGGCACTTAATAGAACTTGTTCCAACAATTGAACAAGTTCTGTATCACTCCATACAACATTCACCATTTCTTACCTTCATTTTGCAAGAAGGGTCAGGTTTTAATTTTGAAGCCTTTTCTAATCAATCTAAGCACTCAAGTTTTCTCTCCAAGGATCAACAAGGCTAGGGAGACTCTCTTTTCACTTTTGTAACATCATTTAAGAGGCCTTGGATTGTCTCCAAGAGGTAAGGTTCTTGTCTCATCCATCTCATGATATAAGCATTATTGATGATTTATTTATGAAGAAAAAATATAGACAATATCATGTGTTAGCTGTTTGAATCATTGGTTGTGTTATGTGAAGTGTACATGTGATGTTTTAACATGTGGTTATTGTCGCTACTGTGAAAATCGGCGCCGGCTGAACAGAAGAGTCGCCACCGTGCGTTATTTATCCCAAAAGAGGGAAAGGAAACGCTCGAAGTAAACCTACCGCAAAGACGGGAAAGGAATGGTCATCGCAACCAAATCCTGGATTCGGGAGTCGGTTACGCAAGGGGAAGGTATTAGCACCCCTCACGTCCGTCGTACTCGACGGGATCCACGCTTGTTTTCTAGTACGGATTGTTATTCTATCTATTCTACAGGTCTGGGGTTAAAAGAAAATAAACTGACTCGGCAAAGTATTGCACTTTATGCCTACGTATTCCTGTCTGGAACGAGAAATCAGAGTCAACTTAGTTCGCCTACCTACTGGAAAGGAGGGGAAGGTTGCTCACTAGGATATCGCATCCTATGCCTACGTACTTTCATACAGCATGAAAGATCAGAGCAAACGTAGTTCGGGCCACGTACGACACAAGTCTGTCTTGATTGTTTTTTATCCTTCTGAAAAAGGTTTTCTCCTGATTATGGGTCCAAACGAACAAAAATGACGTTTTGATTGGTTTACAGTCTTTTACGCAAGAACTGTTTTTTATTGATGTTTATCCTTTTATTGTATTTTTCTGATTGTTTTGAGAAAGAAGAGAAACAACAACTCTAAAACCTATGGTTGAAAAGGGAATCAAAATCTACCCTAATGTTGTCATGCATGGATGAAAGCCTAATGTCTGTCATATTTCTCTCTTGCGCAGAGAGAAACAGAGATCCTAAGGGATAAACGGAAAAGCAACAGCATATATACAGTAAAGCGGTAAAATGCATGAATGCAACAATACAAGCGAGGCAAGGGATTCCCACTCAACCTTGAACCTAGAAAACAACAGGCAAAAGTGAACAAAATTCACTTTAAACCTAACAGGGTAATTATCAAACAATACAGTCAAGAAACTCAAACAATACATCAACAGCTCTAAACAGCACCAACAACACAAGCTCCTTCTTCTATCAGTCTTCAAGGCAATGAATCTTATCCTCAATCTTCAAGGGCTTCTTCAAAGCAAGCTCTCCAGCAGAGAAATATGACAAGAGGATTTAGAATGTTAAACAGTCTGCTGAGCACCAAAGGTGGCCTACAGAAAGTTAACATAATACAGACTGTTTCTCTGAAAGTTCTATCTCCTAGATACAGTCACTAATCCTTCCAAAGGAGGGATGTGAGTATTAAGGAGAGATTTTTAATCACAGAGAAGAATGGAGGCAAGAGAAACCATCCATGTTTATGAAGAAAATTTCTATTCTAAGGCTCTACCTATACCCTATGTCCTGTGGTCTTCAAACAACCCCAAGCAAGCCAAGCAATCTTCATCAAGCTTTGATTTTGATCTTCAACTTTGATCCTTGTTAAGCTCCACAAGCTCTAACTAAGCCCACACCCCAAGCAAAAGCCCAAAAAGCCCACACAACAAAATAAACCCCAAAAATGGGCAAACCAAACAATCACACAACTGTAAAATATACTAAAAATAGT